TTTTTTTTTTCATCGGCCGTTGCTAACCTTGACAGCTCTTCACTTCGCTCTATAGCATGCTACCTACCTCTCAAGAGTACCTCACCCGTGCTGGATGGTCTCCCGCTGCCGCTGCCTACTCCCTGATCGGTCTCTTCTTGGCCGGCGTCATTGTTATTCGGTTCCTATCTGCGCTTCTTCATCGTTACATTCCCTCCCACGTCGTCGGCTGTGCTCATAGTCATGAGCCGGATGCAAACTCTGCCGACCCGGAGCGCGGCCACAGTCACCACCACGGGCATCACCATGCTCATCACTCAGAAGATCATCATGGCTGGACCGAGCGGACTCCTTTGCTAGCGCGGGCGAGCAAATCCAGTCCCGCGGTGCCACACGCGGGATCTGAAGATCCCCACACTGCTTTTTTCCCTGCCGGAACTTGGCGCGTACGTTTGGGCCGGCGTCTAAGTCGTATGGTGGGCATCAAAACGCACTGCGACAAGGACGGTCCCTGTTATGGCTTTTCGCAGAAATGTGGTGCCGAATGCTCCAAGACTCTGATTGCCCCTGAGATCTCTGTCGCGGATGACACTGACGTCCATGTCATTCCTGTACGTGTGGACATTGACCAGGTGGATGGTCCAGAAGAAGGCTTGACTACCTCCAACCACACACATCACAAATCTGGAGACTCATCTTCCTCCACCCCTCGTAATGAACTATCTGAATACCCACCCCCATCTGCGGAAGATGCGGATGGCACGTCCAAAACGCAAGTGCTTGGAAGCCAGCATCACCACCATGTGCCGCAAAATGCGTTCCTGTCTATCGGTCTACAGACCTCGATAGCGATCGCTCTTCACAAATTGCCTGAGGGCTTCATCACTTATGCTACCAACCATGCTAACCCAAAACTTGGTCTGACCGTTTTTCTTGCCCTTTTCATCCACAATATCAGCGAAGGCTTCGCCATGGCACTACCTCTTTATCTCGCCCTTCAATCACGCGGCAAAGCGATTTTCTGGTCCAGCCTTCTGGGCGGTGTCAGCCAACCGGCCGGAGCAGGCCTCGCGGTCCTTTGGATCTGGGGCACCGGACGAACCGGTAGCCCCGGGGGCGATGCTGACTCGTCCTGGGCCGTATACGGAGGCATGTTCGCAGCTACGGCAGGGGTCATGACCTCCGTGGCCCTGCAGCTGTTCAGCGAAGGGTTGGGACTGACCCACAACCGGGGGATTTCAATCGGCTTTGCCATCGCGGGAATGGGTATAATGGGCCTGAGCTTTGCCCTAACTGCATAATTGTCGTGATTCACTAGGCGTTTTTGGTATACCTTGGCGTTTGAATTTGAGTTACTATACGCACCTCGCATCTCCATAGACGAAAAGGGAAGCCAAAGCATAAAGCATCTAGGAGTTCAGTCTTTTTCATGAATGCGCAACGAGTGATGATTCTGATTTCGGGTCTATGAGATATGCCTTACCTATTCACTTAATTCAACCTGTTGCTCAACGAAGACTCAACTCACCCTTGTTGCCACTAGGGGTAACATTCCTTTCACGGGGACACTGTAGAATGCGAGATATGAAAGGTCTATCAGAGCCCCTTTTTAAATCACAGCCTTGTAATGGTGCTGTTCGGGCTTGGATTATGCGGTCGAACTGCCTAGTAAGTCTATGAGATCACTATGCTTGTTCAATGGGCCATGGGCTGAATGTGCTCCTTTGATAACAACATGAGTATTTGAGACTGGTTTGTACTGCGCTGTAGAGTACTGAATATACGATGCGAGATGGAAGGAGAAGCTGACATGCTTCAGGTGACACGGATCCTGTGGTCATGTGCAGGGCAAGTCTCTCATTTGTCTTTTGCAGATTGATTGCTTACTCTTATCGGAAGAATATTGATTTTTGCATTTATCATACATCTATTATACGCATATACAATACCATGTCCAACGCCTCATTTATGCAACCATAACCCCTGTGACTCCCAAGTAATTGAAACATTATACAGTAAAAGCGAAGGAAGAAGGGCTAGGCACCCTTGCCTTTCGCGGCGGCTTCTCGTTCTCTTTTTCTTGCCAGGTATCGCTCCTTTGCGCTCGAGACATCTCCCTCGGTCTTGCGGCTGCGGCTGCGCTCTGCGATTTCTTTCTGCCGTGCTGCCTCGGCCGCTTCTTCCTGTTGCGCTCTCTCTTCCAGTTGTGAAGCAATCATCTCTGTTTGACGAGCGCGCTGGCCAGCTCGAGCGCTCTGTTGCTCCGATTGGAACCGGGACCTTGGCGCAGAAGCGCGCGATCCAGCAGCAGCCGTGGCCGCAGAGGGCTGTTGCTTGGGTTTTGGGGCAGCATTGAGACCAGCAGACAGCAACTGTCGCTTATCGACAACCTGTCCTTCGTCATTGATGGCAATATGGGCACCCTGTGCATTGAGCTCCTCGGCTTTCTGCGCTTCTGTCTTCTCCTTGAGATCCTCTGTTTCTTCCGGAGCTTCTCCAGCCTGCACCCGCCGTGCAGCCTCTTCCGTAGCCTTCATAACAGCCTCATGCTGTTGTTCACCCCGAGATAGCATGTCCCTGTAGAAATCAACCATACCAGTACTTCCATTCTGTTTCCGTCGCTCTTCCTCCTGCCGCTCCCGCTCCGCCTCCTCCTCTTCCATCTTCCGCAATTCCTCCTGCTGCTTCTTATACGCAGATGTCACAAACTTCTCCTTATCAGCAAACTCATCGCCCTCCGCCTCCCGCTCCTTAGCCAGCATCCGATCCCGCGCGCGAAGCTGATCGCGCTTGCGGATCTCCGCACTCCGCAACAAAGACCCCATATACCGCGGACCCTCGTTTTTATTCTCCGCCGCCGCTTTCTCCTTCCCAGGCTTCGCATGCAAGCTCTCATACACCGCATCGTAAGAATAAATCGACGGATCGAGCTCCTCCGCATCCTGCGCATGCTTCTTACTGCTATGCATCGCAGACAGGTTCACATATTCCTTATTCCCCGCTGCGGAACCGCCCTTCTTCGTATTCAACCCAAATGAAGCCCCACTATCCCCCGTCTGCTGCTCCATCGTCTCATCCTCATCGTCATCCGCGAAAATAGAACTCTTGCTCAGCGGCTTCACGTTCGGTTTCCCCGTTGCGCCTCCCCCGAATGGCACTTTGCGCTTCGCGGGAGGTTCCGTCGTAGATGGCTTTGCCGATGAGGCCGAGGTGCGTTTCGTCTCTTCTAGTCCACCGAGTGTGGAGATCTCAACTTCCCCGCTTCCCGTGTCTTTGCTTTCGGAGTCCGAGTCCGAGTCGAATATGGTTTTCTTGCGCTTTTGCCCAAGGGCCCCGGGCGCCGGGGCGCGCGTTTGGTTGTTTTTTGTTAGCGAGATTGAGGCCGTAGGAGAACGTTGGGGGCGGCATTTTTGGGATAGGAGGGTTTGTTCTGCGTGCTGGATGATGGTTCGTGTTGGCTTCTTTTGAGGTTGGACCTAGCTCAGTTCTGGATGATTGTGGTCACGTGGTGATAGTGGTATCTTACCGGGGTTGGGGCTTATCGTATAGATCTCATTTGGGGTTTATGGACATGGTTTTGGTGCGTTGTTTGGATCGATCCAGTCCCTGTTGTATTGAGTATTGAATAATGGGTCCTGTGCTTGTGGGCAGGTAGATCATTTGGCTACTGACTATTTGCTCTGGGATAATTTACACTTGGGCAGAAAGGCTACAATTTAGATCCGAATGTCCTGCATAACTGTTTTCTTGTATGAATAGTGCTGGAAGCAGTGTGTGTTTGAGGAGACTAACAATTGGGAGCTGTGAGAGTATGTGGACTTGAACTTATCCACAATCACTTGTAGGGCAGAACCGCATGTAAGTGAGTGTACAAATCAATATGAACAGAAGTAATGTAATCAAGCAGCAAGATGCATGTTTGTAGTTAGATCCCATACGGTCATTTAGTATTGATGTCGAAATGCCGCTTTCTTGCTCCCAGGAACAAAGGCCATCCAGTAGTAGCTTGATGCGTAACGTTCTAGATCCCGTTCAGCGAGCATCGTCTATCATATATGGAAAGGATGGCGGATCTTTTTCACATTCCATTTAATCTGCTATATCTGATCAATAATTCGTATCGCCGAGCTGTGTGCATCAATATTGCCCAGTGTATCACCTAGCCCAATCATGCGATAGTACTGACTGATCGGTTAATCGCAGGTCTCCTATGTGAGCCTGTGTCCTGAGACTGATCGTCTAGTTCCAAGGTCTCCGCCTGCACCAATTGGCGCCGCGCAGACTCAGTAGCTTGCCATCTCCTCAGTGGGATGGTCAACAAACTACTAAGGGTTGTTTGGATTCCCTGATAGATGACCATGGGCAGCTTCATCCTAGACTGAGCGGCTTCAGGAAGCCCCATAAACATGATGGTTGTTATTGGCACACCCATCGCCGGCGTTTTGGTGGGCACCAGATATGCCACAGCTATTGTGTCCTCGCGGCTGAGCCATAGCCATGAGACCAGAATGGCGATGGCAATGCACACCAGAAACAGTGCGATCAAGATAAAGACGACAAACACCATGTTATCCGATCGAACTTCGGAAAACGCATCGGACTCGAATGCGCCATCATAAGTACTCCAGATGATGACTAATAATGCAAAGGAGCTCAATTTGCTCATCTTCCACTCTACGAACACTGTCTTCACCAGGCGTGGAAACACGCTGGCTATGATTTGCCCGACCAGCTAGTCATACAAAAATGTTAGCATCAACAAATCACATGCTATTAATGTGGGAATGTAGCACATACCAGTGGGGCAAAAACCGAAAGCCCCAGCTGCTTAAAGACATATCGATAGGTTTCGGTGAATCCTTCGGTCTCCGGCAGAAAGTCTGTGTACCAGGCGCCAGTGTTGGTGTAGAGCTTTATCAAAGCTGTCGTCAGGAATGGACCAAGAAGGCTCCCAATGGTCGACTGCGCGATGGACAAGGCTCCATTTCCGTTGGCCTTTCGGGTCATTATAGTGTTGAAGGAGATACTTTATGTCAAGGCCTTCAGATTAGCAATTATTTCAGAGTAGAAAGAAAATTTATCACCGTAGACTTCTGATTGGGTTGGCTTACGCGGTAGGAAGACACCCCAGGATGATGATTCCGATCAACAGTGCCGGATCCATAAAATGCTTGTCGGTTGCACAGGCGCTGACGACGCCATAACTGATCGATGAGGTCAGGAGATAACATTGCACTTGAGTGAAGATGTGCACTTTCCAGCGGCTCAGATTTTCGACTAGGACCTGAGTAGGAAGTGTACATCCATTGATGAAGAAAATGATGGAAACCGCTACATAGTTGACAACGGTTTGCTTTAGCGGCTGATGGGGTTTTGGCACCTGCACCTGAGAGGCGAAGACAATCAGGATGCCCATGACAATAAGAAACCATTGGTCAACCACTAAGTCCCAGATTCTAAGTGCCCATCTCCATCGCTTCTTTTTATCGCTGGCGTTGGTTCGGGGTCCGCTCGGCATCGGAGAAGTGTCTCGGCGTCCAAAAGATTTTAAGGAGAGCTGTCTGTCTTCCACATCTTTTAACAAGGCACCAACCGGCGCTCGAAAATGAGAGCAAGGGGGTGGAAAAGACTTTAAGCTTTCAGCCTATACTTACCACTGGCACTATCTCGGCACGAGTCACTTGAGAGCTGAGGCGCCGGCTTGTTAGTCATGACCCCCGTGGCTTGTTGGTGAAATATGATCTATGGAGCAACCATGGATAAGTAAATATACTTCAATGGATTCCAGAATATCTCTGTCAGTTCGCCTCGAGGAAGGGCGATTTGGGCCACTTTTATACATCTCCAATTGTCCCTGATAGCCAGGACAGCATCAAAGCCAGGGAGGACTAGAGTCACTAGATTGGTGGGTCGCTCAGGACCACAAACTCGGTCCAGAGGCAGCATGTTTGTTTCTTCCCTTTACTTCCGTATGATATGCAGTAATGACGTCTTATTGTGACTTTTTTTCAGGATTCTCATGCATGTGGTATGCTCATGTTCAGATTGAGATTGTCACACATCGTAGGGTAAAGTGTAGTAGGTTTACTATAGCTATCAAGATACTGATACACAGGGTAGTGGAGATACTTTGGGATTAATACCCATCCCTGCCATAGACGACGCGTTGCCAGCAATGTAAGGGGAATGCAGATACCCACCGTCATTCGAATGTAGATATGGATGCGTACGTCGATAAGGGTTATCTTATCGTGCACGTGACTCGCGTCCCATTATCTACTCTCCGTATATCATCATTGTTCCCCTAACCAAACTCCAACGAAGTTGACAATTACAAATGTCCTACTACTTCACCATTCTCTCCCCCACAGATGTTCCTCTGTTTAACATCGCCTTTGGCACCTCCAAAAGTGGTGGCGATGGAATTGCCCGCTTCCGATATCCGGATACCGCACAATACATGAACCAATTCATCATCCATTCAAGTCTGGACATTGTTGAGGAAGCCCAGTGGATGAATGGGAACCTGTATGTCTCTTCTTTGCGTTTCTTACTGGCTTGGTTTGACATAGGCTGCATACTAAAACATAAGATATGAAGGTATCTAAAACACATCGACACCTACCCCCCCGCCTCAGCCTACATCTCCGCCTTCCTCGCTCCCTCCGGCGCCCGATTTCTCCTCTTACATCAACCCCCTCAACTCCCCTCCACTTCCTCTACCGGAAGCGGATCTTCTTCAATACTAGGAGCAAGCTTCTCGGCCTCTGCCCTTGGCGGTGGTAGTTCCAGTCGCGCGTCATCTAGTTCAATCGGGGCGAACCCAACCTCCCCGCAGACCGAGGAGGCCGTGCGCCAATTCATGAACGAGGTTTACGAAAATTATGTCAAGACCGTGATGAGCCCATTTTACAGGCAAGGAATGGAGATTAAGAGTCCCGTATTCAGGTCAAAGGTTACGGCTGCGGGAAGAAAATGGTTGTAATCTCTCCCTTACTTTTTTTCTTTCAATATTTCCCGCTTTCTTAATACCACTTTGCTGCTTATACCTGTCTGTTCTTTGAGCATATTCTACTTGTGTATATTTCTCGGGAGTCAATGGTTAGGTTCTATTTAAAATCTCAACAGAGGGGCCCCCAATCCGATGGCTATTCGATTCTGCCTTATATACGCCTGGTGAAAGTAAGCTGCGGAATTATGGATCTATTTACATGTGATTGTGTTTTGGCGGAGGTCCAACACTCATTTCGTGGCTATCCAGGGTTATGTACAGGGTCAATTAATGCGCAGTGATTCGTTCCAGGATGGCAGAACGTAAAGTGTGGGCGTGGACGTTTGGTGAGATCTTGGTCAATTCCTCTGACATTATATATATGATCAGCAATGCCCCATGCTATACATCCGGCCGAGGTCAATGGCCTACCGTCCTCCATGGTACTCACTCAAAGTTGGTTTGATAGACTGAAACCTAATAGATCTACCCATTCTATTACTGGTAGAACCGTATACTCAACAATCTCACTAGGCAGTTGAATTACACTCATGCCAGAAGTTGGTCATATTGGCTACCGTGTCAACTCGTCCGCTAAAGAGCGATTTGCGTGTATGTAAAAATAGCTACTACAGGTGCGAAAACTGTAGAACTATACTTGCTTGCCTAGGTTCACATGTCGTCTGAGTTTGGAATTGGGTTCGTATTTGAAAACATGGATACTGTCTCTGGGAGAAAGGGTGTTAATTTATCTACCAAGTAGGATACGTGCCCACGCTTGGCGTCACGTTGGAATTTTGAGAGGCTTGAGTATTAGCACCACAAAATATATATATATATATACTAGTCACATTGAAGTAAGTTTTTAATCTCACCAGAGCAGTGGGATGTTTATTCCGAGTAAATGTATCTATAGTCCCGACAAGGAACAGATCTAGATCGAGGTGAACTTAGGGTTAAAAGATCCTGTTTACTTGCGGATCACATGCTGCGCTTTCTATACTGGGTTAGTAAGACCCCTAAGATATCCATGGTAATAGTAAATACCAGTAATACTAGTAATGGAGTAAGCTCTTAGCAGAAACTTTAGATACTGCGATCAGTGCTAGTTGCGTGCTAGGCTGACATGCCAGTGGGTTTATTCTTACTTCACATGGAAGCCATGCATAAACCGTGTTCATTCGTCGGTTTTTCAACAGTCTAGACCCGCGTTCGAATGGTTCAAGTGAGATTTAATCTCGACCGTGTCGCTAACATGTAGATCAAATAAAAGTATCCGCAAGATAAACCCCATGGCTTGAAAAACGGGAAAAGGAAACGCTCAAAAATACATCACAACGCCTAACCAAACCAACTGTTAAACTGTCATCTGAGGAGCCAACTTCTTCACGGTGCTATTCTTGAAGTTTTCCACAGCGTGCACTATGTCATCGACTTTGGCTATCGCCCCAAAGATTCCACCTTCCATTTTGACCGACTCAATCGTGCTCACATGGAGAGAAGGCTCACTGGCCGCCGTACCGTCTTCTAAGATTACGCAGTCGAACCCTCGATCATTCGCCTCGCGCATAGTGGTAGAGACACAGACATCAGTCGTCACTCCTGCGATTACCAGGTTCTTGATGCCTTTATTCCGAAGAAGAAGCTCGAAGTCAGTGTGGGCAAATGCCCCGCGACCAGGCTTATCGATGACTGGCTCCCCGGGAATCGGATACAGTTCATCGACAGTGTCGTGGCCAACCTCACCCCGGATCAAGAGACGACCTAATGGGCCCTGGGACCCAATCCCAAGCCCGGAAGCGTTATTCCGTGACCGGTACGCCTCCCGACTTGAGAGAGTGGAGAGATCGGGTCGGTGACCTATAAAGATAAGCTACTGGAACACACAAATTTTGGGGCTGTACGTGACTACTATACCTTCGCGTGTATGATAGACTGGAAACCCAGACGCTCGGAACGCATTCAGGAGATGTTGTAGCTTAGGAATAAGTGCATGGGCAGCTGATATATCATAGCTTGATATTCCATATAACCACCTGGCGAGCAGACTGTGATACGTTTCGTTAGAGAGCGATATCCATAAGAGGATCTAGAGGGATGAGAGTGCATACAATCTTTTTGCATATCAATAATAACCAACGCAGTTGTATATGGTGTTAAAGTCGCGTCATGCGGCCAATCATACGGTGCCGCCGCGACTTGGCCCTTTCGAACCTTGTGATGAGGAACTTGCCGGGGCTTCTCGACAACTGGGCCGTGATTATGTGTCGGGTTTAGAACGGTCAGCGTCCAAATGCCAGGAGTTCCAGCTGCGACTAGCATAAATGGACAATCCATCAACCGCGACGTTCGCCGCCGTTTCCTCGTCTCCTCGGTGAGGCCGTTGCGCGGACGGTAGTGTCCGCCCCGATCGCATCTGAGCCATACCTTCGCGGTCCGTCCAGGTTTCTTTTCGGTGGGAGTACTGGAAGACTTGACTACAACATTGTACCCGTGCGCTTTTCCGTGTGCCTGCACTGCTGCAAGAAGAGATGCCCTTCATATGTCACACAGCATAAGTATACAACTCCACAATCATGCCAATGCGGGGATTTCCGCCGCCAAGCCAAGTAGACGATCAACGAGTAGACTCACTTGTCAGGAAATGTTCCTTCGGGGGGTGGAAGGAGTTGCATTGACATCTCTGGAATATCTTGAAGATCGCTGGGAGCGTCGAGGTTCAGGTCGGTGGGGTCTGCCATGATAACCAACCGTGTGGATCTCTGTAGGATAGAGGAGGTCTGAAACGAAGTGTCAGCATTGTCGGCAAGGTCTTTAAAGCGACAATGAGGCTTTCAGCCGAGGAAAAGAAAAACGGGGCATCATGAAGCACATCGGAGGCTTGAACTAAATAAGTGCGTGGAAGCAATCCATAGTATATGAAGTGAACCGGGAGCTGAATCGTGCGTGGACATAGCGAACGTTCTTTGGAGACAGCCGGGAGGCGGATCTCCAAGAGGACAATAGATTGTTGGTAAGGGGGGGGAAGTTCAAGGCAACAGGGGCTGAGAGAGGTAGAACCCGGGCTAGTCCGAATGATGGGGATGGACAAGAGATGAAGAAACTCACCCAAGCACAATCCAAGTAGAAATCGCTCTATCTCCAAACAGGCCCCAGACAAGCCAGAGGCATTCGATTGCCCCAGAGAGTCCGTCACTCACAGATCATCATCGGAAGACGCACAGCCGCAGGCGGTGGAATCGAATTGTTATAGTGCTAGGCCAAATCTAGTTTAGTGGTATTGGTTGTTATGATTCTCCCGTATGGGCCCGTACTGTTGTCCCGTGGACACGGCCCAGCATCTGCTGCCCACTCATCTGGATAGCATCACCACCTCTACTTCATTCCCCCCCCAAAACATTGCCCACGACCCTCTACCCTCTTGCCCCTCTGTGAGGGACGCCTACAGGTAAGTCAAGTTACTGAGACTGAAACAGTCTCAGTGGCCCTTTTTTCCTCTTTTCTCTTTCTTTTGTTTTTTTCTCTCTACTACTTCTACTTCTATTTCCTTTCCCGCCCGAACGTCGTTGTCGCAACCCGACTATCGCGACACCGCCTCGGCCCCTCCACGACTATTACGACCGGACACCCAGTTGTTGACGCTGGCTCCTGTGAATGATCTCGGGCTGGGGTTTGTGAAATATTCAATATCATTCAACGACTTGGTTGAGTGTGTATTCCTTCAGCAGCGGCATATTCTGACGTGGTTCGCTGGAACGTGCGCCTCCTTCCCCGGCGTCAGCTGCCGGCGCGGATATAATGCCATCGGCCGATGATTCCACCTCCTCTCGACCCAACGGGACTAGCTCGAGCCGGGATGAGCTCGCACACTATAAAAAACAGTATGAACAGCTAGAAGCTGAGTTGGCCGACTTTCAGTCCTCCAGCCGTGAATTGGAGGCGGAGCTGGAGAAGGACATTGAGGCGTCTGAAAAGCGCGAGCGTCAGTTGAAAGAGAAGGTGGACAACTTGAGATACGAGGTTGACGAGTGGAAGGTAAGCCGAGCTACTGCCTCATTCAAGTCCCTCTAAAATGGCCGTTAGAGTGCTAACCCGCCGCTCTTTTATAGACCAAGTACAAGCAATCCAAATCAGAAGCCAACACCGCTCAGAATACCCTGCAGAAGGAAATAACAACACTACGAGATGCCAACCGGACTTTACAGTTAAAATTACGTGATATCGAAGTCGCGAACGATGACTATGAACGCCAGGCCCGTCATACGACTTCGTCCCTGGAGGATTTGGAGTCGAAATACAACATGGCGATTGAGAGAAGCGTATTGCTAGAGGAGGAGATCAAAATCGGAGAACAGGAACGAGAGAATCTGCGAATTGAGAATCAGCACCTTCGTACTGAGCTATCAGAGCTGAAGGTCGAAACCGAGATTATACAAGAGAAACTCCGGAATGCGGAATCACACGGTGGTCGACGAAGGAAGCCAGCTCCCTTGCATCGCACACCATCAACACCACAGACTCCAGAGATATTCGACCGTTCTCCAGGACCATCGACTGTATCATCTCCTATTTTTACTACACCAATGAAGACGTCATTAATAGCGGCGACTGCAACCCCGCCGTCGCCGCCAATATCCGAGTCGTCCACCAGTATGCGCAAGTCCATCAATGCGACTCCTGGGTTTCCTCGACAGAAAGCTTCTGGTTCCGAGTCATATAGCTCTCGATCTTTGCATGGCTTCCCTCGGCAGAAGGCTTCTGGCTCCGAATCATACAACTCTCGATCTTTGCACGGATCCAGGACCCAGAAACTCTCCCACGCACACTCTCGCGCAGCGTCCTCAGCACATAGCAATGGCCGCTCGACTTCATCGGCTACTTCCCGCGCGAGCCTATCCAAGCCCAGCCCCGGTCTCTCCAAACCTAGTCCCGGTCTTTCCAAGCCTAGCCCCAGTCTCTCCAGGCCCAGCCCGGGTTTCGCCAGATCCAGTCCGAGTCTATCCAAATCTACCAACAATAACAACAGCACTCGGTCATCTGGGATGCCCAAGTCGGGATCTTTGTATCAAATTCGTGGTCTGATTGGCAAAATGCAGAAACTGGAAGAAAGGGTTCAGTCGGCCAAATCCAAACTCCCGGCACCCTCTGACTCCCCGTCTCGGGTCTCTTCTCGCTCCGGGTCCATAGTTAGTGAGAGTCCTGTTGCTTCCACGATTACTGTTCGCAGGGAACCTCGTAAACGATTGAGTGGCAGCAGCTTCAGTTCCTCACTTCACGGCGACGGTGTCTCATCATATGTCTCAACCAGTCGACCATCGTTTAACAGTCGGCCGAGCAGCCGCACGAGCTACTCCAGTTCGTTCAGCCACAGCACACACCCTAGTATTGCACCTTCGACTCGGCCTGAAAGTCGTCAGAGTCGGACCAAAACGCCATTGGGACATTACTCGACAAATCCAACCACTGAAAGTCGGCGGCCGCGATCATCACTTAGCAACCCGGCGGGACAAAATGTACCCATAAATGGCATGTCTCATATTGACGAAGATGAAGATCTCTCCCTGCACATGTCTATGCGGGCAAAGATCAGTGAGGCCCGCGAGACTCGTCTTCCTTCGTTTTCCACCCCCAATGGGCTCAAGAAGCGCACACCAAGCGGAATCCCCTCCATCCCTGCACCTCGAAGCCTTCGCACTAGTACGGGACTTGATCGACGGGAGGGTCACATGGGGCCACCCAGTTCGAAGACTAAGACCACCACCGATTTGGGCGAAACTTTCTAAGTTCCATGTGAATTTTCCACCTCCTCCTTCCATTGCTTACCCTTTGATACACATTATGGCAACTCCGAAGGGCGTCACGATTTCACGGCTTGTACGCGCGCTTGATACATTTCAGTTTACCATTCAGACTGCAATATCTTTTTTATCTTTCCTTGTCCCTTTTATCATCTTTTTATTTCCTAATCACTACCCTTTTTGCAACATTGCAAGCTCCCACAAGGGGTTTGGGTACAACGAGAGGACTTGTTTTTGGGCCAGTTGTTCATAGATTCAAGGATTCCCCTGGACATTACTGCTGCGATTATACCACATTTTGGTCATCATAACCTGTACAGTCAGTCTCGGTGAAAGGCGGAGTTTGGCAGTGTATCCGGTCTGATGGCGCTTCGATTAACAGCCGGGGGTTTTCCCTACAGGGAGCCCCATCGGCGTCCAAGCTGTGACTCAGCATTATTTTTTTTCTTTTGGCTGTATATTTCTTCTGTGTTGTTACTGTGTTGCCCTAGGCGTTAGACAATACCCAGTTATAGTTTGATGAGATGGTCCTGTAAGCATGGTAGTTTGTCGCAACTTTCACCTAACACGGGGCTCTAGCAGCACCATCTCTCCCATCCTTCTTTTGTTATTTTATTATGGAATATAGAAGGTCGCGGACATAGGGCTGTGTGGTGAAAAAGTAATGACCAACAAGAACAGGCAGGATCCACGAGATAATCATATACCGGAGTTTAAGTACGATGACAAGTCATATTTGGTATAGCGTTGACAGTTGCAACGCGGCGACGGCTTGGCAATTGATGTGTTCCATTCTGGTTACCTGACTAGGGGTAGTACCACAAATATGCCCGGTTTTATAAGTCTATCTGCATCACGTGGAGTTCGGAATAAGCCCGTCACTAACGGAGAAGAGCCCAGGTATCGTAGGTACAGTTACACCGGTCTTTTCTAGAAATTGACATACGTCATCGCTATTGGTGAACCCTTCTCTCGAATATTCTGATCCTCGATTCTCAAATTATGTAAAAGTACCGGAAGAAGTGATAGAAGTGTAAGCGATAGAGGCTCCGAAGACCGAACTGTCGGGCCCCGTCGGTATTCGGAAGACAAGCCCCGGATAATATGTATTGGGCAAATATGAAGAACTAGCGGAAGGGTTTGATGAGGGCGATCATTTCGGTCCCAACGGGACAAAACCCCGAGATTGGTCGGGATTGGGTTCAGACGTCAACACTGTCCAAATAAGGTTAGCTTCTGTCCAAGTCTGAAAAGTTTCTTGGCCTGGTTCGGATGGATTTGATGGTCTAGTCCTACTACGGAGTATATACTCGGTATAGGTTTTTTAACTCTTTCACTTGAAGGAGCTCCACGTCAGCAAATATGGTCCCGCGCCGCATGTAGGTTGAATTGTTTTCCTTGTTTTTTAGGAGACTATCTTTTTCTCTCTCTTCTCTTCTCTTGCATTCCATTGGTTTCATTTTTTTCGCTCTTGTCATTTGAATACATGACAAGTCTCGCGCTACGACATTTTCTTCTCCTCCTTGTATTGATCACTGAGGCGTGTCGGAATAGGTATTCATAGGGCAAAATTCACAAGTCGATATAGTCACGTTGTTCATCAGGTTGATTCTGGTCTTGTCCTCGCCATTTGTTTTTCCCTTGGCTCGCCCAGGGGTTTCTTTATGTTAGTTTAACAGATATATGGGATCGTTGGAAGTTATATTGGTACCAAGGCATGTACTGTCATCCAGAGCACAGATATAGAGCTATAGGGGTAGACCAATATAGACCAACATACTCCGTGCTAGTATTCTAGATCACTAGGGCTTGGACTTAGATCTGGTGACCAATGCGACATACGGAGTACGTACAAGTGGCATCCAGCAAGTGCCGAGACCCATGTTCGTCGCATTGAATGTTTAGTATGGACCTTTGACAGGTTTTCTTGCCTGGCTGATTCA